GACTCAATCAGTTTCCAACACTGCCACACTGGGGATCAAATTTCCACATGAGTTTTGGACGGGGACAACACATCCAAACTCCATCACTGTACATATGCTCTAGCAGTTCCACTCATAGGACTATACCGAGAGAAATGAACGTGTATGTTCACAGAAACTCGTTCATGAATGTTTATAGCATTATGCACAATGGCTGGAAGGTGTAAACAACCCACATATCCATCAGTTGATGAGTAGATCAATAAAATGTTGTTTATCCATACGATGGGATATTATTCAGCCATAAAAAGAATGGTGTATTGATGTATGCTACAACATTGATGAACCTTGGAAACGTTATGCTAAGTGAAAGAAGCCAGTCACAAAAGGTCACATATTGTATGATTTCATTTACATGAAAGGTCTAGAAAATAGGCAGATCTATAGAAACAAAGTAGATTAGTGATTGCTGGTGGCATGGTGAGATAGGGGAAGGAATGGAGTACAGAGTTTTTGGTGGGGGGAGGGGTAGTGCTGAAAATATTCTAAAATTTATTGTGATGGTTGCACAACTCTGAATATACCAAAAATGATTAAACTGTGCACTTTAAATCAATGAATGGTATGTGAATTATACCTCAATAACATTATTTTTTAAAACTCATATCTACAAAGGATTTGAAACTTGTTCCTGTCCATGTAATTGATTTCCTAAAAATTATACCTGACTCTGCTTTAAAACTTTTAAATTATTAACAGAATGCTAAGTTATTTTATTTACCAAGTGGAAATAATTTCTAGTCGTCAGAATCACCTGAGGAGAGGCACAATCTTTCTAGTGTCTAGTTACCAGAAGGTAACTAGAAAGTTTGCAGAAGTAGGGAATCAGATCACAGGGTTTGAAATGTATTTGAGGGGCCGTATCAGGCCTTGGTGAAGCCTAAAGAATTTGTCTGGTTTTTGTTCTGGCTTCCTGGTAGAGAGCTTCTAAAAACCCTTGGAATTTCCTGAGTAATAGGAGTGTCACTAATAAAGTGAGCTTACGGTGGGCCCTAGATAACTTCAGGATGGTGGCTGTTCCCCAGAAAGACCAACTAGTCCCAGGAGGGTTGAGACTGAGCTAGCCCAACCTCCAGGGAGGGAAGGAGAGGGGGCTGGGAATTGAATTCAATTAAATGGCTTATGATTTAATTAGTCATACCTACTTAAACCCCAGTAAAAACTCTGGACACTGAAGCTCAGAGGCACTGCCAGGCTGGGGAATAGATGTCCTGGAGGGGAGAATGCCCAGAAGCTGCATCCTTCCCAGACCCACCCTCTATGGACCTTTATAGTAAAACTGGAATCCTAAGTAGAGTGCTGTTCTGAGTTCTGTGAGTCATTCTAGCAAATGGTCAAACCTGAGCAGTCAGTGGGGACCTCCAAAGTTGGTTGCTAGTTGGTCAGAAGAGTAGGTGGCTGGAAGACTTCTGCAGTGGGGACATTCTTGTGGAGGACTGAATGAACCACCATCCTTAGCTCGTGGTGGTTAGTGCCAGAATTGAATTGTACACCCAGTTCGGGTTGAAACAGTGGCTGGACTTATTTCTCCTTCCCCTGGATGACACAGGGTAAACCTTGGCCAGATTTTTTGTTGCTTGGTTTCTTTGAATCAAACCTCATTTATTAAAACATTTTTTGAAAGTAAAATGCAATTGATTAGGGTAAACTTGGAACCTTAAGTTTAGCTATAAAGCCTAGTTGCAGTATTATTCCATAGATGTTCTAGTTTGTTGTTGTCTTTTTTCCCCCTTCAGGAGTTCTGTTTTTATATTGTCAAATCTTTTGACTTTTATTTTCCTTTTTGTATTGTGAATAGTTAGGTAGACACTCTTGTTGATCCTTCTTTCAGGTGGGAGAAGGGATTAGGACCCTAGCCCAAGGTCCCACAACATGGAGGTGGTCAGGCCAGGATCTGAGCCGTGTCTGACTCTAGCACAGCCCATGTGTATAACCATCCTGCTGCACTGCCTCCAACTGGATCTCTGTCTTCACATGTGACCCGCATCAAAAAGAAGAGGAGAGAAAGGAAAAGGATTGAAAAATTGGGGCTTTAGATGGAACAAATGAAGAAAGGGGCGGAGGTTAGTTCCTGTGTTAGGGAAGGACAGAAGTTTTAGTCATTGACAGTTGTTCTGTGGTGTGCCTTAGACCTCAGAATGAAAACACAGAAGAAGCGTTTGCTTTGCTTCTATACTGTAAAAATGACAATGTGATGACACAGAAATGCCAACTACAGCATTAAGCTTTTTGGAATTTATTTTGAGTTAAACATCTTTAGTTACGATTCTGTTGACCTCAGTCAGACTATCTGAAATACTGATTTTTCTTCAGAGTTGAAATCCTTGTTAAGTTTCTTTAGTGGGATAATGACTCTAGAGATTTCGTGAAGGATTTTACGCTAGGGAACATTAGTAATAAGATAGATATTATTTGGGATCTGTCTGTTTCCTACTTACATCAGGTAGCACTGACACAGACATGGTGCCCTGGACAGGTTCCATATCCACTACCCATTACGGACGTAAGGTGCCCGGCAGCAGCCAGCAGCGTGCATCTGAGTGATTGACTTAACTGGAAGTTTAACCCTAGGCAAGAGCAGCAATTTACAACTTCTGTTTTTATTTTCTGGTATTTTTTCTCTTAGTGGAGGGAAGAGGAGGTTTAGTTGATAAAGTATTCCTACTCTTTTGAATGGTCTTTCATATATAATGTTTATAAGATTAGCTTTAATTTTTAAATATTAGGTTTGGGTCTTGGCAAAAGTGTCTTGTTCAAGTTGGGAAAACTTGCTCCAGAGCTGGAAATAGCTTATTTACTTCTCTCTCTCTCTCTCTTGGCTGCTGGCTGGTAAGGGGATCTTATTTACTTGTTTCTAATGGACAGTCGTATATGGCATCAGATTTGGGACGTGGAGGTTAAGTTGTATATATATTTTATGAATGTAACTCTTTATAGGAAGTTTTAACACTCTTGTTTTTCATTGTGTGTTGGTTCTTTAGAAAGCAGATTTGGATACAGTTTGTTCATGTCTGTTGTGTATATATTTGCTTTGTAACTGTTTTATAAATTTTATTTATGTTATTTTTCCTGGAAATTTAAAATTAAAATTTTGAAAATGATATTATGGTAAGAATATTTTGATATGACTTTAAAACACTACTAAATAATTAAACTTTTCCTTAGCACTTTTGTTTCAAACTTCTTTAGTATCTGTTGCATGGGACAGAAAATTGGTGTGGCCCGTCAGCCTGTCTTTGTAACTGAAGCGTTTTACTGGAACTACAGGTGTGCGTGTGTGTGTGTGTGTGTGTGTGTGCGTGTGTGTGTGTGTGTGTGTGTGTGTGTGTGTGTGTTGGCCTTAGTCTACTGTGTGGAGGATTTCATCTGCTAGTTTCATCTGCTAGTTCTGCAGACATCTAGATCTGAAAGAGTAATCTCCTGTATCTCGTTAAACCGGCCCGTGTGTGGGCTTTCCGTGTTTCATTTCCCTCCATAGCAGACTGGTCATGTCTTTGAGATTGGTCTTCTTTTGTCTGCAGAAGGGTCCCAGTATGTGGTAGGGAAGTGACTCTGAAGGTGACGTCCTGTCCTCCTCTCTTCCTTCTGTCTTCTTGTTCCCTATTTTTGCCTCCTGGTAATTTGGGGGAGGGGTAGAATGCTAGTCTAAATTAAAATGAAAGTGCTTTAACTGTTTCCTCTTTAATTCAGAAGGGGGTGGGGGGTGGTGTCCTGGCCTACAATCGAGAAATGAAAGGTATCTGTCTAACCTAGCTTTAGGCACAATCTGTTTCAGGGTCATGGAGTCTTTTGAGAATCAGAAGAAAGCTGTTGAGCCACTACCTGGGGCAAAAATGGATATGTTCAGAAATATGTTATTAGAGAAATCTTAGAAGCCCTCTGAAGTCACTCCTTGTGGGGTCCATAGATTCCAGGTGAGGAACCCTTGCTCTAGCCCCCCCTCTGCTAGGAATAGAGTCAGGCAAACAAAAAAGTAGGGAAATAAAGCTGATGTGATGTTAACTCTGGAGTTAAATATTTTTCACTATTGCTGTATGTGGGGGTTGGTTTATTCTTTGATCAATTTTTAAACATTTAAATATAAATAAGTGACTTTAACAATATCTTCTAATATATATAATCTTGATGACAACCACTTCTGATGTTAGAACTTTGAATATTGGCATTTGAGAAAAATAATTGATTTTAGGTGTTCCCAGAATAAATCATTGACTCGGGATGGATCTATTTTAGCATTTCCCAATTGTGAAGGAAAAGAGATTAAGCCCATGATGTTGCAAAGTGTGTCCACCAAATCTTTGGGGCTTGCAGTAGAGCCGTGAGGTCCGCCCAATGGAGAGCTTGTTTCTCGTCTCATCCTCTCACTTTTGCGTGAGCCCTTCCACTTGACCGTGTTTCCTAAACCTTATGCATTGACTACCACTGCATGATTTTGTCTTCTGTGCAGCTCCTGCTTAGTATTCTTTAAATCAACTTACTTTTTTAAAACTTAAATTTATGCAAATAATTACTATCTGTGAAATGTGGGTTTAATGTTCTAGTTCTTTTCAATTAGCCACTTAAAGGAACATGTGCATATTGGGGGTTTTGTCTACCTAAAATCATCTTTTATCTTTTTAGAGGGAATCAAGTTCATTTTGAGAAATGCTGCACTATGTGCTGGACTTTTAAAGCTCTGATTTTGAACTAGAGTATGAGCGGTAGAAGCTACTTTAACATGGAAGCACCAGAGGAAAGGAGAGGTCATGGGATGGGTGGGTGCTGCCTGCTGAAATACCCCTTGCTTGGGCACATTCTTGAGTCCTGAATATGGGGACATTTGGCTGCGTGCATGGCAAAGCTTGGGATCATAGCCTTGCATCAAACGGCTGATTGGTTTTTCAACCTGGCCAAACACACTCATGTGCATGTGCACATACATATGTATCTCCACCTTTCATAAGTTTTATTTTTTTTTACAGGTTTGATCTTGCTCTTCTACCTAGTTTTTTATGGGTTTCTGGCTGCACTCTTCTCATTCACAATGTGGGTTATGCTTCAGACTCTGAACGATGAGGTTCCGAAATACCGTGACCAGATTCCTAGTCCAGGTAATTATGTTGCAGTTATGTTGCAGGCTTTTAACAAAATTGGGTTATTTATCTTCATAAATCTGTTTTATGTAGCAAATAGAAGAGCATTAAGCCTTGGAGTTGAGTAATATGAAAGTTTTGATTTTTGTTGTTTAATATTTATGTACTGATTTAAAGACTTTCACATATATGCACTGATAAATCTTAAGTTTTTTGTTAGGAGCAAGCAGAAATGAATATTGAGAATTTTAGTGAAGCCAAGTTTGAATAGTATGGTTATAGTTATGAGTGGCTTTTATGAATATTGTGTAGCAGTATCACTTTACCTCGAATGATTTACTTATAAAGTATATATCTTAGCTCTAGGTTGGCTTAGAGCATTGGTCTAACAAAATACATGCTTCATGGTTCTAAGTGGTTAGTATGAAAGTGGTAAGAAGTGTTAAATAATGACACATTATTAGAGAATAAAATGAATATACTCTTCCTGTTTAATTCCCGTGTATAGATTGTCTGAAGAAAAAAAGTTCTTCCTTATACCAGAGAATATACTTTAGTACAGTAAAAATCTTAACCAAAACACTTATTTAAATCACATTTTCTACCTCCTGATTTTACTCTTCTTAAACAGTCTTTGAATGACAACTCTGCTTTGATTGTTGAACATAGCCTTTGTCTTCAAGGTGCCGCAATCTTTAAAGAAATAAGAATACAATAATGTGCAGAACTCTAGTGTATATAATTCCAAAAATGTGAATAACTGCTGGAGATGATAGAGAATGGCAGGTTCTGTTTAGAGGAGTGGCATTTGAATAGCTGCTAGAGTGGACACGCAGGCTGGGAAGGTGGAAGTCTAGCAGGAGGTTTCTCCCTACAGCGGTGGTTTTCAGCCAGCGGTGATTTGTCACCCAGAGGGTATTTGGCACTGTCTGGAGACATACTTGGTAGTTACAACCGGAGAGGTGCTGCTGTGAGTAGAGATCAGGGATGTTGCTAAACGTCCTACAGTGCGCAGGTCAACCCCCCGTGACACAGAATTATCCAGCCCAAAATGTCAATAGCGCCAAGGCTGAGGAACCCTAATCTAGTTCCCCACTCACTGCATGGACTCGTGAGCATATCAGCACACAGACTGAACCAGTTTCCTTAGCCGTTTTTCTTGGAACAATTTGTTCTGATGGTTTCCTTCCTTTACATCTAATATTTGCCTAAATATCCTGAATAACTTTTTTCTCTTAACTTAGTTTAATTGACCATCAGAGACTAGCTCCCTGCTAATAATTTTCCCTTCATCTGCCCTATTTCCCTTCTACCTAGACTAGTTCTAATTATTTTCCTGCTAAGTTATGTGACTTCATTACCGTTGAACACAATCTGATCTGTTTCAGAAATATTAAGCTGTTTATGATTGCATGAAATATATAAGCAGTAAAATGCATTCAATATTTTCTTAAGTGTACAGTTTTAAAGGGAGTTCCTTAAAATTATCTACCAAGTGTATTATATTCCTTAAAAATGTATCATTATTTTAAATAAATAAATATATGTGCACACATATACATATTTTCTTATTATACAAAGTTATTAGATATGGAAAATGTTTAGAGACTAGTGAAAATTTTAGGATTGTTTTTAAGACCGTGTGCAAGGCTGAGTTAATGTAGATCTAATGCTTTTAAATAAGGAAAGTTTATATCAAAGTTGGAAGCCTGACTGTTTCTTACAGTTAAATATGCTTGTGTTTTCTTTGTCAATAAGCTCATGCACCATGTTCTATATACATGGGTGTCAACTGCTGATATTAAGTCATTGGTGGTTATACTCCAAATTTAGTTTGTGAAAACCACATTGTAATTGTAGAGCATCGTTTATTATTGAAAGAAGAATATTTACCATAGAGATTGAAATATGTAGGTCTCTTTTATTGGAAAAAGTAAGCTATCATTATGAATGTTTCCATATGGCTGTGATTTGAATGATAAATGTGTGTAGACTTTGACTTGCCAAAATTTTTCTCCTTATGTTAATGGCAAATAGGCAAAACCTAAAAATATTATTTGATAGAAAAGTGAATATAGAAAGTTCAAAGTAAAATTGCATTCTTTAAAGTAAGGATTGGTGAATATAACTGGAAATACTCAAATTTAGCAGGAGGTTTCTAATTGGTAATTTCTGAGATGGTTTTGAAGATTTGAATTCTCTTCAGTTTTAGAAGTCTATGTCTTCATAATTGTATGGAAGTTGGAAGTTCTTGATAATTTCAGCATATCTGTGAACACAATTTTCCATGTCATTGACTGAGATCTACTTTTTAGGGATAAGAGTAAGGAGAAGGAGAAAAGGGGATTTGATACAGTTAATTTCCCCCTTTTTTCTTTTATCTCTGTGTAGGACTTATGGTTTTTCCAAAACCAGTGACTGCATTGGAATATACATTCAGTGTGCTTGATCCAAGTTCCTATCAAGTGTACACTGAAGACCTTAAGAAGTTTCTAAAGTGTAAGTATGTTTTTAAGAAAAAAGTAAAGTGTAAAAGATTTTAATTATTATGGAAACTTGCAGCAAATTATGATTACTTTTAGAAATATCATTCTTAGAGTTTGCTTTACCTTTTTCTCCCCTCCTATTAAACATAGAAAACTGAGAGAACTTGCAAGTAGAGTTTATAATTAGTTGTGAGACTGTTCCAGCTTATGGAAGACATAGGGGCCTAAACCCAGTGGACAGTCGATTTGATTTTTCTATCTGTCCTATAATAAGTACACTAAGTTCGTTGAGACATAACATTTATGTTGCATAACAACTGAAAATGTTTGATTAATAGAGCAAATCTATACTATATGAAATAATACCCCCATTTATTTGGATCTTTTGTATCCAGTGTACTGCTTATGTGGGGCACAGGAAATAATGTCTGTCATTTTTAAAAATATGTCTATGTCTGATTTTTAATGTATCACTGTGAGTTTGATTTCAGAGTTACCAGTTTGTAATGCTCTTTAATAGCCATCCTAGCCCAGTTTTTCTTCCCATTTTGCTTGGCCTAACCATTCACAAGAGTGGTACTAATAGTCACACGAATATCCAGCGAGGGCCCTGGCCTGTTGGTTCTTACCACCTCATGTCCTCCTCAGCCACACACACCTGCAGTGCTCCCTGGAACACACAGGCCTCCTCTGCCAGCATCCCTGGCTGAGGCTTTCCTGCCTCACCCTTCTGTCTTCAACACTGTTCTGCATCAGTGGGACACTGGATGCTGCTGCTTCTACTTGGCCTCAGTTCCCCAGCCCCCACCTTCCTTCTTATCTAACTTACTGATTCCGTGGTTTTTCATTTCATGTTTGTTTTTGCCAGTACTCTAACATCCCTTGCCTCTCAGTCTGTTTATCATGCACTTGTGACAAAACTCTGCTCCTGGATAAACCATATAACTTCTGGATAAAGCTTGTCCTTCTCTGAGTCTGCTCCTGAGCAGCCATGTGCTGCTGAAGACAGACACTCAGCAGGGCTGTTAGCACTTGAACACTGATCACTTCCCTCATGTGGACCTGTTCACTGCCTGGCAGTCCTACTGAATTTTTCTGGATAATTCTCTGAAGGGATTATTTCCGACCTCTACTCAAGCCTCTAACCCCTGACGTTTTTCACTGTAGCTCACTTTCTTCATATAACCTGGTTTCTTGCCTCAGGAGGTAATAGAGGTGCTCAATTTCCCAGTTACCATTTTGTCTGTAACATTCCTCCTGCATTGATGGGGGAGCTGCCCTTCCTCTCACCTGAGGCCACCAGTACCACTCCTACTTTGGATCTCATCCCCTCTCGCTGTCTCAGAAGCATCGCACTGTTTACTGTCCTTTCACATATACAAGGGGTCTATATTTAAAGACAGTTTTATGAAAGTATTATCCATGGCTTAAAAATCTGATAGTAAAGACAGCTCTGTGGTGAAAATAGTAGATCCTAGCCCTACTCCTTTCTAGCTGCAGTGCTGGTCATTTCTTCAATGAATATTTTTTTGAGGGTCTGCTCTGTGGCGAGCACTCATCTAAGTTTCTAGCAATGAACAGAAGAAACATTCCTGTCTTCATGGAGTTTAGAGTCCAGTGGTGGATTAGAAGGTAGTAAGTGCTGAGGAGGAAAATAAAGCAGAGGAAGGAGATAGGGAGAAGTGGGGAGGGCTGCAGTTTTCATCAGGGTGGTCTGGGAAGGGCTCATTGAAAGAGAACCCTTGAGGAAAGACCTGAAGGAGAGAGGGAACTAGCCATGGAAATGTCGAGCAGAGGAAGCAGTAGGTGCGGGGGCACTAAGGCTTATGTCTGACATGTTCAGCGTTCATCAGGGAAGCAAGAGCAGCTGGGTAGAGTGAGCCAAAGAGAGAAAAGTAGGAGATTGAGGTCAGGGAGTTCAAGGAGGACCAGATTGTAAAGGCCCTAAGAGGCCATTGTTAAGTTGACTTTTACAGTGACCAAGATGGGGGATTTTCAGCAGAGAATAACATGATCTAACTCAAATTTTTGCAGGATCACTCAGGCTGCTTTTTGAAACTAGAGTGTAGGGGAGAAATGCTGGAAAGCTAGTTTGGAGGCTACTGCAGTAATCCAGATAAGTGGAGATGGTGGCTTGGCAAGGGACAGAGCGACAGAGGTTGGGAGAAATAGTTTGATGCTGGATACGTTTTCACTAGGAAATAATTTTATTTTTTTGAACTTTTTCCTATGGTGTTTTTCTTGTATATCTGTAAATATTATGGTTTTTCTGCTGGTCCTTGATTAATCACTTTCATACATTGATTTATCACTTTTATGCACCATCTTTACTTAGCTCATATGCCTTGTACCTTTCCCCTTCTCAATTCAATAGTAATTGATTACTATTTTTGGTTTCATAATTGGCTCCCTTTTTATACTTTTTGTATCTTATTCTATCACCTACAGACAGTCTCTTCTCACTCCCTTATTTATAAACTCATCTAAGGAATTCTGTTGAGTCTCTCTTTTTCTGGAAAACTCCTCCCCAGAGCCCTTTCCCTACTGCTGCAGTCTGTACCGATTACTGTGTGGCCTTTCTGCTCCCAGTTGTCCTTTGGGGACTTCCTTTCATCACTTTTTTAGTTGGACCCACTGTTTCTTGGCTCCTGCTTTATTTTTTTCTTAATTTACTTCCTAGTTTTGATGGAGTACATTCTCAAGTAACTTTATAAGAAAAGATACATTTTGAGCCCTTTCATTTCTGAAAATGACTTAATTCTGCCTTTATAGTTGATAGTTTAGCTGTGTATAGAATTTTAATTCCTTTGTATTTGCCTTTTTTCTCCTCTCCAAAGTTTTTTGTTTTATTTTTCAGTTTTCTCTATCTTTTTAGGGCTCTAAAATTTGTCTGGATTCCAGTGTCTGAAGTTCCATTTTGCTGGGACTTGTTGGGGTCCTTCAGGATAAAGACTAAGGTTCTTCAGTTCAGTGGAATTATCTTCTATTATTACGTCGACACTTTATTCAACTCAATTTTCTGGTTCTCTGCAGAACAATTCTGCTGAACTGTTATGTTTATTGGGTGTTGGGTCTCTTGTTTTTCTCTCATTTTCTGTTTTTACTTAATTATACTTTAACTTTCAACCCTGTTTTATTGTTTGTTTTTCACTTTCAGCTGTCACTGTTGATTCTTGTTTGTTTTTGTGTGTGTGTGTGTGTGTGTTTCTGGTGGCCGGCCTGTACAGGGATCAAACCCTGGACCTTGGTGTTCACAGCCACGTGATCTAACCAACTGAGCCACCAGCCAGCCTGCTTGTTGATTCTTTTTGTGTTTAGAAGATATAGTATCTGCTTGAAAGTTACCGTGTCTTCTTTATTTTTTTCCTGTGGATACTAATTGGAATTTAAAATTTTATTTTGTTTGAATTACTTTTTCCTTTAGGGCCATATTTTCCCCCTGATAATCTTGGTCTTTCTTATTTTAGGCTTTCCTCAGATGTGCAGGGCTCTTTGGTTATCCTGGGATCCCAGACTTTTCTATGTTCCCATCATGCCCTCTATAGGGAGTCTTCATAATCTGACTGTTCATCATCCAACTTCCTACACTTAAGCAATTTTGAAAGGAAGTGCAAGTCAGCATAATACAAAAACAGTCACCAGTGAGCTGACCTGTAACAACAGGGTAGATGCAGGGGAAGCCGAAGCCCTTGGGAAAATTGGTGAAGGATTTGAATGTTTCTTACAAAAAGGAAGTGATGGATGTTGTGGTGCTGTTTTGTTATACGTGTTTATCCCTACCCTCCAAAGCATATGAATCATTCTTTGCTTTTAAATGAGAACATAGTTCTCAATAACCAAATTTTTGGTAAGTATACGACAAAATCAAAAATTCTGACAACAAATTTTTTCCTAAGGTGAAGATCTTATACTTCCTTTAAAAAGCATTTACTTTGAAATTTTGGTCCCTGTTTTGGTTGAGTTCATTTTAAGTGGCCTTTTTCTGGCACTAGTTATACCCACACTTCAACAGGTATTACTGGGCACTGTTACACCAATATCTTAACTGTCTATTAGTGAATATCCTTCACTAGATAGACTAAGCTCATTGAGGGCAGGGGCCACACAGGCCTGTTTACTGTTGTGTCACTTGTACCTAACACTGTGCCAGGTGCAGAGCAAACATTGTATATTTCTCCCTCCTCTTTTCTTCTCATTTCCAAGATCTTAGCGTTACTCCTTTACAACTGTCAAATCCGTCCAGTTACCTCCATCTCTGCTAAAAACACCCTTTTCTGAGCTAACATTATCTGTCTGGGCTGTTTAATAGTCTCCTAACTAGTTTTCCAGATCCTTTCTTTTCCCTTTCTGGACTGTTCCTCACATTACAGTCAGTGTTAAATTTTTATAACACAGATATGGTTATACTTCCTTGCCACAGCCCCTCCCTTAAAACATTTTAATGGATTGTCATTGCTCTTTGGCAGAACACCCACCCACACCCTCTGAAATTCTTTAACACAGCTTACAAGACTCTACATGTTTTAGCTTCTACCTTCCTTTATCTGAAGTGCTTCCTCCCAGCCTCATACCCTTCTGTTTTTGGCTCAGTTGCATTCCCCTTGGCATAGGCTGTCATAGCATTTATTACGTATCTTCACACCCCTGCAGTTAGGATTTTATAGCTAATGTCTGTCTTCCCCACTAGACTAGACTGTGAGGTCTGTGAGGACGGCAGCAGTGCCTTTCCACATCCTCCCTGTATCTTTTGGGCCAAGCACATAGAAGGCATTCAGACAGTGCTGTAGTCAGGCTGGTGCCATCTAATGGTGACAAAAGAGGTTGATCTATAATTCAGTTTGTGTGATTGTTGAAATGCAATAAACTTTATAGCTCTAGATAGCTGCTAAAAAGTTAAAGCAGCAAACTTAATAATCTTTCCCTAAGTTATGTATCTTTTTGGGCTGATCCAGCACATGTATATGTTTCCTTTTTAGCATATAGTGTGGAAGAACAGAAGAATCTCACAGTCTGTCCCGATGGAGTACTTTTTGAACAGAAGGGTCCAGTTTATGTTGCATGTCAGTTTCCTGTTTCCTTACTCCAAGAATGCAGTGGTTTGAATGAGACCGATTTTGGCTATCCCCAAGGAAACCCTTGTATTCTTGTGAAGATGAACAGAGTATGTACCTCTTTTACATCTGCTGCTGCTTTTTTCTAATATCCTCTGTTAAGGAGCCGGCAACTATTTTTAGATTTTTATGGTTGAGTTAATGCCATTCTTATTAAATATTATTTCATTGATGGGTCGGCCCGTGGCTCACTCGGGAGATTGCGGTGCTGATAACACCAAGGCCACGGGTTCGGATCCTATATAGGGATAGCCGGTTTGCTCACTGGCTGAGCGTGGTGCTGACAACACCAAGTCAAGGGTTAAGATCCCCTTACTGGTCATCCCCCATATATATATATATATATATATTATTTCATTGGGGGGGCAGCTCGCTTAAAAGGCTAAAGGTGATATTTATCCACCTTTGGAAAAAGTTAATCCAGCAAAATCAGATTGGTTCGTAGATTAATCATGGATTAGGGAATTAAAGTAATTTCGGCTCTTTCCTTTTGAAAATACCTACATGCATTCTGCCATAGGTTAATGCTTCAAAGAGTAAGTATTCGGGTTGTCATACCCGAAGCATGGTTTTGTTAAGATGCAATGCTCCTCTTTGAATCCTTTGTTGTAAAATTATTTAAAATTCCATGGTAACTCCATAAAGTTTTGGCTTATTTAACTTTTTCCTGAATATTTAGTAGCAAAGCATAGTTTTATAGTGTATGTAGATGTAGTTAAATAGTAGAAATACAAATAAAATCACATTCTAATGAGCTCAGTGGGATGCTGCAGTCATAAGCCAAAGTAGCAGCATTTTGCTGTTTTACAGCGGGGTGCCTAAATTGTATGGCTATTAGCGAAGTAAGAAGCTCATGTTCTCCATGTGACCGTAATAATGAATTAGGGTCATTGTGCAAAGAAAATGCTCTCCTTGTGTAATGACATGATCCTAACTCCTGGCCTTCGTGCTCTGTTAAGTGTTGTGCTACAGAGTTGTGTTCTGATGCTGTTACCCTTTTGAGGCCTGCAAGGTCTCCTTTGAAGAGTTGGGGTCATTTACTGAGGAAAGGGCAATTTCTTAAACAGGTGTAGATCTGTCAAGGTCACGAGTTCGTATATCTCTAAAGTCATTGGTAAGCAAAATGCTACCTCTGATAAAAGTAGAACTTGGGTCTTGTAGTTGGTATTGCTAACTAAGGAGTTTCCATGTAGGGAAAACCAGCTAGACCCTGAAGTGCCCAGACTAACTCCCTGCCAGCCTCCTTCTGTCCTATTGGGAGGCCATGGATAATGACAGTTTCCAGATTGTCCCATAGCACTCTATAGATCTGAAACATTGCCTGACACATAGTAGGCACTCAGTAAATGATTACTGGGATGTTTCTTTTTTCTCTTTTCTTTTTATTGTAACAAAGTTGATTGTACATATCTGTGGGGTAGACTTGAACATCAGCACCCACGTGCCATATGTGATGCTCACATCAGAATAATTACTATATTCAATAACATACACCGTTACTGCTGTTTGTGGCCCTTTACCCATTTCTCCCTCCCCCTTCCCTTCCCACTTCTAGTAACCCCAGTTGTCCTTTTTATGATGTTTCAGCAAGACTTTATTAAGAATTCAGGGTAAAGTAAACCAAAAGTAATGTGAAGCTAGATGATCTAGATTGTAAGATGAATTAAGTTCATGTGTTTTAATGGCGGTGCCCTAATCTTAACCTGCTAGAAGTGTCCTTACTACGTACAGATTGCTGAAATTCTCTTCCCAATATAAAACCAAAAGAAGGAGTCCTTGTCCCACAGGACCAGCTTTTTCAGGATGGCCTCTTTAAATGATGAGGGTCTGAGGCTGTACTTGCCAGTGAGGACTTGGCCGTGCGGGGCGTGATGGGAGGATAGCATCAGACTCGCAGGGCTCAGCCAGGAGATGTGCTCCCAGGTCACTGCGTGGGTGAAGCTTGTGATTGCTGTTGATATGTTATTTGGGTTACAGTAATAAGAGGAATATTTGCATTTTATGTGTTCACATGTAAACTGCATATAAATTCAGAACACCAAAAAAATCCTCTCACAAAATAGATAAATATCTATTACCATTTATACAGAGTTATATTAACTACATACATGAAAGTAGAACCCCTGGGAGTCTTTCTTAAAATAGGATTCTTCCCAGTGTATGTCTTTTGTGGAACAGATAGATGTGAAATATGGCGAGGCTCTGTGAGAGCCTTCTGGAAACACACATGGGGGGGATCGTGACCTGATACATTTTCATGAAGAAAGTTAATTATTACAGTGAGCCTCTGTGGTTCTTGTTATGTACATTAAATCATTTGTTCATATAAATAATTGGATTTAAGGCTTCCTGTTTCTTCTTGTAAGAGTAAGCAAAGTGTAATTCTGTGTTTTGGTCAGTTCTTTGGTAATTGACTTATTTTCTAAATTGCCCCAGTATAGTAATAAGACAGTTAATCTGTAAGATAATTATATTGAAAAGTCCATTTTAACCCCCTAAAATAAAATAACAGTAAAAGGCAGATGTAACTGGGTTAATACGTAAAGTTAGCATTAATCTCAACCCCTCTGCCCCTGTCCGCCAGCAACAAAGGAGGAGGTTTCATTGCATGCATATGTGATGTTTAAATTAATCAATATATTTTTAACCTTAGATAATTGGATTAAAGCCTGAAGGTGAACCAAGGATAGAATGTATTTCAAAGGTTAGTATTCAAAACATAATGTAGCTTCTTTTAAAGCTTTAATGCTTCTTGAAATGTTTAAAAGTCTAATGAGCTTAGTTGTCTTTTTTCCTTCCCTGTCACATTTTTTAAGTACTTTCTAGTATCATTCTTGGAATAAAATTTTACCAAACTCTGTGGGAGTAGCCCTTCTAATGGTGATTCCTAGTGACAGTTCAGAAAGACGGTTCCACATGTACTTGACTTCATGCATGTCGCCTTCACGTCTCTGCGTGCCGTATTTCATCAATTCTAAGATGCCCCTTTTCCCCAGTCTAATAATGCTGAAATTGGGATTAGCCTCGTATTGATGGTATCTTAAGACTGTGTCATGATTATTTCCCTTTCTTAGTAGTTCCTAAATTGGTGTGCTAACCATAAATGCCATCTGAGATTTAATGAAATATGGTACTTTTTCCTTCTTTAAGGTAGTGGCATTGTTTTTCTCCCTATCCCCACTTAATTTTTTCCGGCATGCTGTGCAGTTTTCATCTCATAACTGTCTTTTGTTTTCTCTCCATGCTGCAAATACAACTAAGACAAATATGTAAAAGATGGGTAAGAGTTCTGAGGAGAAATTAAGTTTTAAATTTAATTTTATCAATTTTTATCATTTAATACTAAATGTATTTTCAACTCCAATTGTATGGCAGAAGTATTTTATTTGAAATGTTGCATTGAAATAACTTATTCTTGTGAAAAAGACTATAGGGGAGATGTAAGAAGAATCAGGATAGTTTGTGTCAAAGGGTTTAATTGTGTAATATTTATAATCAGAATGAGCAAGTCTCTTCTCAAAAACAGATTCGTAATTAATGTAGTTAGAGCAGCAATGTAGTTTCTCCAAACTGTTCATAATTGATACTGTTTAACTATAAATACAATTTTTAGGAGTTCTTTTTTGTGACCTAAAAGGGGTTTCTTTTACTTTCAACTTTAGGGTGAAAACACAGCAGCTATATCAACTTATCCTAATAATGGAATTATAGACTTAAAGTATTTTCCATATTATGGGAAAAAACTGCATGTAAGTATTTGGAAGCTCTTATTTGGTACTTACTCTTTTGGGAAATCGGAACATCTGTATTGAATATCACTTGTCTGGGGTATGTAGATACATGTAATTTGTCTGTAATTTGTGCATCATCTGTTCAGGTTTTTGAGAACAAATGGTGATGGCAAATGGAGACCCCACGTCTACAATTCAGAACACAAAACCCAAGTGGATAAGTTAAAGGATGGTTATTTTCAAAATGCCATTTTCTCTTTCATTATAAAAGTAGTATGTGCTTATTTAGAAAAGTATTGAAGAAATAAAAAAGCTCATTATAGAGGGATACCTATATTATAGTGTAATTTCTTTTTTTAAAAAGATATGTGTATTATAAGTATAATTTTTAAAAAATGATTTCAGGCTTAAAGTGGCTAGAATAGTACAAAGAATTCCTATAAACCTTTTTACCCAGATTTCCCAAATGTTAACGTTATACCTAATTTGTCTTATTTTATATTATTTAAATATATAATTTTTTTCCTCTGAACCATTTGGAACTCAGTTACAAACATGGTGCCTCTTTACACTAAATGCTTGAGCGTGTATTTACTAAAAATAAGGATATTATGTTATATAACCATAGTATAGCTACCAAAGGAAGTTAACATTATATTGATAAAGTACTGTTATCCAATCTATAGACCTTGTTGTAATTTCATTAGTTGTTCCAATAATATCCTTTATGGCGAAAGAAAAAAGTGTTTTCCTGGTCTAAGATATCACCCTGTTAGACCTTTAGCAGCCCGATATCTGGAATAGCTCCTCGATCTCTCTGTTTCATGCCCTTGTACTCCTCAAAAATGAGTACAGGCCCTTTTTTTATTTTATGTTCCTCAATTTGAGTGGTGTTTTTTCATGATTACACTTAGGCTGTGCGTTTTTGGCAAGAGTGTCTCAGAAGAATTGTGTTCTTCTCAGAATGTCCTATGAGGAGGGACATAGCATTGATCCATCCCATTAGTGGTGATGTTAATTAATACTGATTGCTTGGTGAAGGTGCTGTCAGCTGGGTTTCTACAGTATAAAATCACTCTTTTCCTTTGTCATCAATAGGTATTATGTGGGGGGAATACTTTGAGAGTCTCTAAATCACTCTGTTTCTGCCAGAGCTTTTAGCATTTGTTGATTCTTGCCTGGATTATTAGTAGGATATTTCCCAAATGCTGTTTTTAAAATTTCATCTTTTTCCATTTATTAGTTGGCATCCTGCTGTAAGGAAGAGCTTTTCCTTCTCCCTCATTTATTTCTGTCACTATAGACTCATGGATTCTTATTCAGGAGTTACAGACTGTTATAAGCATTATTTATTTTGATGCTAAAATTGTCCCAGATTTGGCTCGTAGGAGACCTTTACGCTGACTCCTCTCTGTGTCATTTTAACATGTTCCCTTAATTCTCTAAGTACTTCCTTATATTCTGGCACCACAAGATATTCCAGGTTTACCTTTTTCTTTTTGTGTCCCAGCCCTGGAGTCAGCCCTGGTTCCTTTTAGTAAAGAGCTCCATTTAGAAAACACAATGAAGCTAAAACAATTATGGGTACATTTGCACCAAGTTACACAGCAACCATAGTAAGGATATAGGAGACCCAAGTAACATAATCACTAAGATAGATCTTATGAATATTTATCAAACATAGTAATATATAATCAATACCATAGAGAATATATATTCTTCTCAAGCACACATGGAATAGTCACAAAAATTTGTCATAAAAAATACATCCTTAATTAATTATTAATTATAATCAATACTTTCTGACCACAATGCAAAAAAATTAGAAATTATTAAGATAAAAAGACCCTTCCACACTGGGGCAGGGGGAAGGGGGAGTGGAAACCTACTAAACAACTTTTGGATGAAAAGGGAAATTAAATCAACATTATAGACTATCTAAAAAATAATGATAATGAGACACAACATAATTACAGCCTATGGAGATACATTTAAAGCAGTGTTTAGAGGAAAGTTTATAGACATAAATACTTCTTTTATCAATAAAAATTAAAGTATGATATTTCAGCTTTAAAAAAAAAGGTAAGGCAGAGAACAGAAAATAATAGATCTAATTAATAGATTTTTTAAAGTTTACAGAATAAGCCAACTCCTGATAGAGAAAAGTATAGATGTGGTTACTGTAGAATTTGATTTTTGTTTTTTGTGGTTTTTTGGTCAGCTGGCTGGTACTGGGATCTGAACCCTTGACCTTGGCATTATGAGGCCACACTCTAACCATTGAGCTAACCAGCCAGCCCTACTATAGTATTTGAATTGATGTATTTTCCTTTATTTGCCAGGTTGGGTATCGACAGCCTTTAGTTGCTGTCCAAGTTCACTTTGATCGTAACAACACTGGGAAAGAAATAACAGTGGAGTGCAAGATTGATGGATCACCCAACCTAAAAAGCCAGGATGACCGTGACAAGTTTTTGGGACGAGTTGTGTTCAAAATCACAGCACATGCATAGTATGAGTAGGATATCTCCACAGAGTCAATGTTCTGTTGTCTGTCTGCATTTTGTATCAGCTGGACCTGCCATTCTAGAATTACTAGATCGCCTGGGAGAAAGGTGGTGGCTGCATGACACCGGGGTAACATCATAATGTGCTTCCAGATCATAGTGTTCAGTGTCCTCCGAAGTAACTGCCTGTTGCCTCTGCTGCCCTTTGAACCAGTGTACCGTCGCCAGATAGGGACCTCTGAACACCTGATCGTGAACATGTAGAATGGGGGTCTTGTCCTCTTTTTATGTGGTTTAATTGCCAAAAGTCTAAAGCTTAATGTGCTGTGCTATGTAAATATTTTATGGATTTAACACTGGTTAACTGTCATATTTTGATGCCAACAGAGTTTTAGGGATAAAATGGTACCTGGCCAACATCAAGTGACTTTATACCTGCAAGAAAGGTGTGTGGAGAAGTTCTGTATGTGAGGAAGAAAAAAGAAAATAAAAGTGGATTTGAAAGTGTTATCTTGGATTTTTTGTAAAATTATTTTTTACATGCTGAATTAGTGCGTGGACCTTTTTGATTCAAAGCACAAACTTTCTGTTGTAAAACATGTTTAAAAAACTGATGGAATTGTTTTTAGTGCTAAAACTATAAGTCTGTTGTAGGTTAAAGTATTTTAGACCATAGGTGAAACAGCATTTTTAGGTTATTCATATGCACCTAATTTTTTATGAAATTAAATTCATAAGACTTAAATTGTACAGTAGTTTGTGAAATATCTTGTTACTGCTTTTATTTAGGAAACCATGGACTCTAATAAAAGATATAAATTATGAAATATAAAAATTTGGAATTTATTTAAGGCTTCAAACCAAACTATAGAGTTTTATTTAAACATTCTTTGGTTAGTGTCATGGAATCTTTCCTCCTCAGTCTTAACTGTTCTTGGTGCGATTATCATGATTTGACCTACTTTCTCCTCTGTTGAGAAAGCTGTGCTTCCCGTATGATCTACGTTTTTTTGTTTGTTTGTTTTCTTTAAGCCTATTTTTTGCTGTTACTCTTCTCCTTTTAAAAAAGGCAAAAGCAGATATTCTCCAGGACGGGTGGACCCAGCCCATTGGCTCAGAAATGGCTGTAAGGAAAAAAAACATGAGGGCTCTGGATGGCCTGGCCCGGCCAGCTGGGCCTCTGTGGCCTGGTGGCAGGCTCGCCACTGTGGTGGTGGGCACTCAGCCCCACGCGGGAGCTCTGCTTGTTGCTCTGTCAATAGGAGCAGAGTGATAACAGATCTTCATTTCAGCAGTCTTTGCAGCTGAAGAAAGTGATACTTGGAATTGTTAATAAAGCAAACATTTTCTGGGATTTGATTTTCCTCTTAAGAGTGTAAAACAAGGATAAAAGATTGCTGTGATGCGACAGAAACAACACAAACTGTGGCCAGGACATCACTTCAGTTGGCCTGGCGTGAACACTTCAGTTGGCTCAGCAGCTGTCAATTTTGGCTCATGCAAAATTCATATTATTGAGTATTCAATTAAATTTGTACTCTTGTATCTTTCAAGGTGTAATATGGATGTAATTTGTTTTAATGAGCTTAGATAAAAGCATTCTGGTTTTCAGAATATGAAACAAGAATTGAGATATCATTCAAAATGGAGGGGGTTTTGAAAAAGTGGGACATACACGTAAGTCACCAACTCATCTTGTTTGTCCCTCTGCAGTTCAGAAGTTTGGACGTGGCTCAGCCCCCGACTGCGTGTGACTTTAGTTGATCTCCCCAGCCCTCTGGCTTTGTTATCATCATCTATGGAGATCAGGGGTTTAAGAACTATAAGTCCTGCTGTGTGCCAAGTAATGAACTGTCAGACTGAGGATACAGAGAAAAGACATCGGTCTATCAAAGATCTTAAACAAGGAGGGAGCACGCTCTGAGACACAGGATATGGGCTGATACTGATGGCAATGGTAGTTATGTGCCAGGGGCCTTGGAGGTGAGACAGAACTAGTTTATTCCAAAGGTCCCTCCCTTCTCTAAAATTAATTTTTGTGAAAAGGTCCCAAGAGACAGGCAGTATTTCACGGAACTGGAAATGTTGCATGGTCAGGAGCTGGGTCTGTTTGGGATGGCAAAGAGTTGGACTAGGTGTGAAGGGAGCCCTGGACACAGCTGGGGTCTACATTTTTGCTGTATTTCAGGATTTTCTCAGTACCTCAGGATGTGCACACATGACCTGGGTATCTGGCTAACATGCAGATTCTGATTCCGTAAGAGAATGGGTATATCCAACAAGCTCCTAGGTAGTAAATACCTATTCTGCTCATTCACAGACCAGTTTAAATAACAGGACTAAAGACAACCAGCTTTGCATCATTGGCACTAGTTGATTTAGTGGGTAAAGAAGATTGAACTGTCAGTTGACTTTAGCTGATATTTAAAATCAGTATGTATGTTATATTCTTAGCTCAAGAAAAATTGTGGGTTAGTTTCCTTAGATCTCCAAGCTGTTTTATACATGGGACTTTTTTATACATGAAGTCTGAATTTTTTTACCACTTTGGTGGTGGTAGGTAACAAATTATGTATAGATCAGTCTCTCCCACTTTGAACATATAGGCTTTCAGCATCGTCCTGTGTTTAGTGTGTCTGGGGGTAGAGTTTTCTGTAGAAGTTGCTTTCTCTACCTAGCACTTGTGTGATGTGTCCTCTAACTTAAGCTCTGCTGCACTTGCTTAGAGGTAATTTTGCCCGTGCGTTCAGTAGTAAGCTAAGAAAGATAGTTTGTCTTCTTCACAAAATCCAAATGTAATAGGACTGCCTGTCACCAAAGTTGCAACCTAGAAGGAGGACTTCTCAGATCTTATGCGGTCTGCTGGAAAACACTGATTTCAAACGGAATTCATGTCTCATTGTGAAGGGACAAAGAGAATTGGCTTTAAATCCCCAACTACATTTGGTTGCTTAGAAATCTTAGGCAGATTACTTAACTTCTGAGCTGCAGTTACCTATAAAATGAGGGTAATGCTACCCTTCGGGGTTGTAAGGATTACAAGAGAAAATGTACATAGAGTGCCGGCATGTAGTTAGTTTCCAGGTGTACAAGTTTTTCAGGAGTGTTTCCTTCCTGGTAACTTGACACTGTATAGCTGCAGTTTTGCTGCTCTGTTGGAGCAATTGTTTATCACCCATAGAGAGGGGGGTTGTGAAAAAAAGGCAGAGGTTGAAGTCTTCTATGTGACTACAGCCCTGTGTAACAGGTTTGTATGCAAGGAGCGGGGCACAGATATGTGGATTTGAACCAGTTGGTCCATGTGGAATTTTTAATTTTGCTTGGTTTTTCTTGCTTAAGTAAAGTCAAATTGGAGTTTAATGAAAACTGAACAGAGTTTGCTTAATTGATTTCAGTTTTCCAGATCCATTAGTTTCCACACTGAAGGAGTTGTATTGTCTTTGAAAATAAAGTTGGTCCCATATTTTGAGCAATGGCTTTTTGTGTGCTCCTCACTAAGGTGATTAACCTCTGGTGCAAGCCAGTGCTTCAGAAGGGAGGATCTGAGTTCACAGGAAGGCTTCCTTTGTGCTCTTGGTTGCAAAATGAGATTAGGCATGACTAGAAAGCAGCGTGTCTGATTTTTGGACAAAGAAGCCAATTTTCTCATGTCCCAGTTAACTGTTTTCCTTTAAATAAGCGCCTTTATACAACTTCGCTACCATGTGTCAGCCTTTGAAACGTTTGGATCTGCTTTCAGAAACCTGTAGTACAGTCTTTAACCATTGTCAGAAGCGGCAGGATTTGTCCACTGAGAGTGGGCTCGCATTTTAGAAAACCAAACCTCACTTGGGAGTGAAGACTGGTCAGGGCTGGTACTTTAAGCATTAAAAACAAACCAAATCCACATTGATAAGGGCCATTGAATTGAATGTCTGTCAGACAGAACTGAATGTCTCCTAAATCCGTCTTTTCAGGTTGTCCGTGGCCTTGGGATAATTCTGATGGGCCATCCTGAGAACAAATTGGATTTGACTGGTGACCAGCTGGTGACAAGCTATCATTAGTTCTGGATTTGTTTAAAGACATGACCCCTCAATCCACTCTGGGATTGGAGAAGTATACAGTTCTGCTGGCTGGCCACCTGCCTGGGCAAGAGAGTCCTGAGAACACCAGGAGGCGGAGCCACTGGCCCTCAGGAGAACAGGGTGATGTTGGGGCTCTGGAAGGCCTCCTGTGCCCAGAGCATCTTTTGCCCTGCAGGTCACAGTCCTGGGTCTCTAATGCAGGATCTGCGGGAGGTTGAGGAATGAAGTGAGACGGGTTGTCGCATTTTTTAGTGGTAGCCTGGTTCCTTGTGATCCTTCTGGGTGGCTGAGAAAACGGGATGGTGTGGAAAAGGATGGGATTTCTTGCAGAATGACATACACCCGCAGGTAAGGCTCTCCTGCAGTGGAAGGGGATTGGGATGGCTTGAGAGACACCTGTGGCAGGGTGGAGGGTGAGCAGTGGCTAGACGAAGTGAACAGGAGAGCCAGAGAGGAAGAACTAGGTGGCGTGTGGCTACTGGAGATGACCAAAACTAGGAGAGCCTTCAGAGCACCCTTCTGAGGTGACTGATCCTGATGCGGACCTACTACTGATGAAGTCATTGTGGTGGCAGAACTTTGGCCCTTGTGCATGACTTTTGTCTTCTGCTGTCATGCCTATGGCTGTATCAAATGGCAAAAGGGACTCTGCAGATGAAATTAAGGTAACTAATCAGTTGACCTTAAAATAGATTACCCTGGATTATCCAGGCGGCCCTGTGTAGTCATGGAGCTTTAAGCAAAAGCAGAAGTGAGATCCAAAGCATGAAACGGTTTGGACACACTGCTGCTGGTCTTCACGGGGCCATGTGGAAAGCCGGAGAAGGATGTTCTGCCAACAGCCAGTTGAGTTCGATGGAAGCCAGATCTTCCCCCAGAGCCTTGAGATGAGAACCCAGCCCAGTCCTGAGGCCCTGAGCAGAGGACTCAGATGGGCCACATTGTGCCCAAACTGCTGACCCACAGAAATGGGAGAATACTGGGCCGGCCCGGTGGTGCACTTGGTAGAGTGCGGTGCTTGGGAGCGCTGCGGCGCTCCCGCTGAGAGTTCGGATCCCATGTAGAGACCGGTCCGCTCACTGGTTGAGCGCGTTGCGGGTGCGACACCGAGGGTTGCGATCCCGTTGCCGGTCGTGGTACGGGCATGACACTGAGGGTTGCCATCCCGTTACCGGTCACAAAAAAAGACAAAAAAGAAAAAAAAAAAGAAATGGGAGAATACTGAGTATTGTTTTAAGCTACTGAATTTGTAGTAATTTGTTCCGAGAGCAAACAGAAAGCCAATGTGCTCATCTTTGCAGCAGAGATTACGTACTCTAACCCAGTGCTCCTCAAACTTAGCATGCACGTGATTCAGCATGGGATCCTGTCTAAAATGCAGGTTTCAATTCGACAGTGTCTGGGGTGGGGCCTGAGACTCTGCATTCCTAACAAGCTCCCAGGTGCTGCTGCTGCGCCGAGGATCACAAGGCTCTTTCATGTGCCATCACGTTCAGTTGGTGCAGTGCCTGCAATTCAGAGCTGGGGGAAGGAGGAAGGAAGGGGAACTTGAGAGAGGAAAGGCCGAGGGCAGACGCTGCTCAGCTGTGATACTCACAAAGGGTGAAGGGAGGTCTCTGCGTCGCCCTGGCCTTCGCATCAGCTTCGTCGCTGTGGTCTCCGGCCTGCAGTTAGGCGAGTCTGCCCCGCACACAGGACAGAGCCCGGCCACGGGGCATTTTTCATTCCCTTTGCTTTTTCCTGTGGCCCTGAGGAGGACAGGGGCCTA